TGTTGGATAGGAGCTGCGAATACACAATCGGTCGTTCTTTTTGAAATTCTCATTCGATCTGGTAAATATAACTCTGTTGGTGGTGAGTGCCTTGGAGGACATGGGCGAGGTTCAAGCCATAAATGCTATTATTGTGAAAACGCTCGACAGGGCCTAGCATTGTCCCCTTCTATTGAAGCCACCATCATATAGATTACTCAAGAAACTCCCAATGGATGCACATGCTTTTTGAATGGTCGAGTCATCAAGGTCATCGTCAATGAATGCTGCTTCACTACATACCATGTCCATTAATGCACGCTCTTTACACTTTTCGTCTTGCATCTTAATGTTACGCTATAAATTTATGCCACTAATTGCAGCGCGGATGATGGAATGGCTGATTTTCGGCTTACTGACAGTTAAAATATTCTTCCGCTCATGCTAAGAAACATGATGAACACATTTTTTGCTTAAAATGGAAAATTGGCTTATGGTAGTGGGGTCTAATGAACTTCGTCCATTTAGACGTCAAGAAAATCATTTGCGTGTTCAGTGTTAGGAAATAGATATTTGTCGTGCTGCCTGTCCGAGATACTCGTTAGAAATATCGGACCCCATTGGAATCCTTGGAGATTTGAATGTGCAGTAATGTGGACGGGAAAATCTAAATTACATCTAAAACTTGGGAATACAATAACGAGGATTCTAAGATGACCGGCAATTTGGGGTCGTTAAATTTAAATGAAATGATTAAATTAGTATCTTTTAAATATCCAATGCGATGAATGGTAATCATACATATGTTCCAAACTAGATTAGATAAGCTTCAAGTTTGTGTTGTGAATCATAATGTGTTAATAATAGCGTTGGAACTTTAAGATTCGAAAACCTTGTTTGATTAATAGTTATTTAAATTGTTATAAGTTACATCGTTGTTTTTGACCGTAAGCATACGATTTTTTATGTGGCACTGCTACGTCTAGATCTGGCCTGTCTTTGATGACAATTACAAAAAAAAATGCATCCGTTTTTTGACCGCTCTATTTTGTCGGGGCGGTTTGTTCTGTCCTCGCAGATTGGATAAATCGTGGCCGTCGAAATTGGTTCTGTAATTTTTGGCTTTACTGAATCGTGACAAGGACCCTTTTCATCACCACCAAAGGCACTGTTCTCTGATATGATTGGCAAATTAATAAAAACCAAATAATTCACTGTGAAGTTTCACCACAAGACAGCCACGTGTATACCAACCTTGAATTCTTCTTACAAGCTACCTCTGTTAATGTCCGCGTATTACAAAATATTCTAGCTGCACGTTCTTGACAAAATCTACAAAGGGATTGAGCTGAATTTACTAAACAAGCGAACGGCGGCGACGTGTGGGTGAATGTTTATTATTTCATTCCGTTTACGAGTCTTGCTTCTGTTTAATTTAAAAACGTAGACAATTTGAATAGATTATTTTTGCTTCATTGCACTCCACGTTTTATGTCTGCAAAGTTAACGGGATAATAAGCAGAAGGGTACTTGACTATTTTTATTCAAAAGTCGGGTAGGTATGTAAGTTTCAACTTTATAGGACAGTTTCTGGAAATTTATTAACAGCGGAAAATTAATGTTGTCTTGCACAGACGAATAAGCAGTGATGGATTTAGGCTTCATGCCGCCTTAGGCCCTGATTATCACGCCGCCCTTAATTTTAGAATAAATTTTGGAAATTTCGATCCCATATTTTTATTTTAAATTTTAAACAACTTAGTAATAATTACTTTTTTAAATTTAAGTAAACTCATTTTCAAAAGGAGACTGTCTTTATTCATCTTTGAAATTTTGGCATTTTAAACGTTTTGCCGCCCTGGCCTCACGCGTCTAGGCGTAAATCCATTTATGATTCAATGACGAAGGAATTTAATAGTACAATGGTCACAACAAAGATCGTTAAGAGCCCAGTACACGAAGTATCTTTAACAAAAATATACTCAAATCTGAAACCTAAGTGGAAACTCTCGTTTGCGGGAGGGTCAACAAACCAATATCGCAATCAGATCATGTAAGCCTCAATATTATATATTTGTTTCCCTATTTTTCTGGTTTTGGGACGAAATAAATTTCACGCTAAGTTTCGATTACTGCAAATACCAGTCTTCTTAGCATTTCTGTGCATATATAAAAAAATATATATAAACTGTCATGTTTTCAACTACTTCTAGTTTAATGCCAATAACTATCAACATATTTAAAGTTTAACTATTGTATATGTTGTGAGGATAGAACGTAATCATTGAAATCATCACTAGGCTCATTAAAATGTATTCCTTTCTCTTTAACTTTCACTTTAAGAATACGCTGCTACATAAAAAAAAAACTCGTTATAATTATCGAAATGTGTTACAGATAAAAACGATGTTTGTTAAACGATGATTACTTCTTATATAACTGAAGATAAAAAGGTCGCTTTCTGATGATGCTATTGTGTACTTTTGTATTGCAATGTATAATAAATAAATAAATAATAATAAATATTTAGTAAAATTTACTAACAATCACGCCACGTTAACTGGTCCCGTGATAAGTTCGTAAAGAACTTGTGTTACAGATGTACCAGATAACGGAAATAAATTTAAGATTTTTATTATACACATAAATTTATTTAATATACATCCATAACCCTGGAAAAGACATTTTATATTTATCATACAAATATCTTCCCTTGGCGGGATTCGAACCCGCGACCCCCTTGTGTAGTGACCATGTCACTTACCACTACACCAGACGGCCGTTGTATAGAAAGGTATTATAAGTTTTAAGTAACAAAGCCACAATAAGCAAGCAGTCTATATTGAGGGTATCATCATCATCTTATTATGTTTACTAGACGATGACCGAGCTTTGCTCGGTATATATATATATTTTTTGATAAATTGTATTTTTTAGAAATTATATTTAAATACGAATTACATATTGATAAAATGATGAAATATTCCAAGATCGTTTAGGCATTTTTAGGTGGCTTCGGGTGACTTAACAACGCCCCCTGCAGAAATAGCTTTAGTGTTATTGTGTCTTTAAAGCAGTCGGGTAGATGTCGGGAATAGTCATAAAGTTGATTATTGAAAACACGTACAAAACAACATTTTCTGAAAATAAATCGTGGCTAGATCGATTTATCGCCCCCGAAATCCCCTGTATACTAAATTTTATAAAAATCGTTGCAGCCGTTTCCGAGATTCAGATTGTATATAAGAATTGCTCTTTTATAGGTATAAGATAATAGCTCTTAAACGGCCAATAGTATTGTGGCAAACAATGTGTCTTCCGATGTTTCTTGACATTACACGTAGCGTATGACAAATTCTCGATAAACGAAATAACGTATTTTACAAAAAATTGCGTAGGCCGGATTCCGATTCAAATTGTTCACTTTGTAGTAAAAGTCTTCATTCATAGTGCTGAATAGGAATAATTAAAAAAAATCGTATACTTTGCTTATGTTGGCGTATGGGAAAGATATACTGAACTGTATGATAATCCAAAAAGTAATATAGATAGTGTGGTTTTTAGTACTAAATCGCTTTGATTTTCGTGAGAAACATAAAACAATTTCATCTGTTAGAAATCGAAGCACTGAATCTTAACTCTTCAGTAATAAGCCTAAATTGTATAGATTGTAAAGTGCCTTTTACATTTACAGCGAATAAATCTATAATAGGATATAGTATATTCCAAAATGTAAGGCTCTTTGTGCGCCCAGCGGCCTTGTTCATAGTGAGCGAATGACGCCCGGTCAAAGCTATTTAATTCCCACGCTAATATGTTATAGTTATTAAGTTACGCTGTTTTAAAAGCAGTTTCGAGGTCTGAAATTTTCCTCCGCATTGTCATTATTAAGGTATTGCCTAGAGGTTCTATTGATTTCATTTTATTGATCGCGTCCTTAAATAAAAGCAAAGGCCGCTAAATTAAGTCAGATCGTAAAAGAGGGTTTTATTAACCCATTTTCTGTGCAGTTTTGTAATACTCTTAAAGTTATTCATGATGCCTGTTGTGGCTTTTGTTTTCATGGTCGAAGATTTCATTTGAATTGGCAACTTATATAATCTTGAAACTATGTCGTTGGTGTAATATTTAATAGATTCTGAGAGTTTTATGTGTTATGCTTAAAAGTCGTATTAGTAATTTTATTCTGTATGTAAAGAATATGTAATAGGAGCCGGAAGCTGCTACTAAGAGTTTGGCAAAAATCTACATATATTCGTTTAGTATTTTCTAATGACTCCACAAATCGTTTTCATGAAATATGGCTTATTCTCATTCTCATTTTATTTCAGTCTAACTTGATAATGAAAATAATGTGTTAACTTACATGTTAAGTGGTTATTGGACAGTGAGTGGCTAATGGATATCACACTGATATCGCGTTTAGAGATGGGGTGAAGGTCCAACCATATTATTTACTACACCGGATGATTGTTTTGCAACAGAATCAACAAAATGATGTTACGTAACGGGGAAGGCATACAATACGCCCTACTACGAGCAGACTCACGTCTTGACGAATTCAACAAATCCAATAACCGTCGCATTATACACCTTTAGCTCTAACTCTAGGAGCAGGCTCAGTGACTCTGGTAACCGTACTCGTCGAACTCGACAAAGAGTTCGATGTGCAACCTAACCTAAACATCAGCCCGCTGAGTTTCTCACCGGATCTTCTCAGCGGGTCCCGATTCCGATCAGGTAGTAGATTCATTCGCGAAGCAGTTAGTTACTCTTGAGTTGTTAGGTCTCCTTTGGGGGCGCTCGGGTAGCTGTTAGCAAATCCCACCCCGCCTGGCTAAGCCTTGTTCGCCCACCTGTCCTGGTGAAACTGGAAAGGCCTTCGGGCCACCAGTGATCCCTCAAACATAAAAAAAGAGTTAACTCGACTACCGAGAGTTTTTTTGGCAAATATGTGATCGCTAATACAAATAAAAATGAAAAATCATCTTTCATAAGTTAACTAGTCGTTTTATTTACAGCTGCCAATTCTACCTCCAGACGCATTCATGGGTTCCCGCATGCCAAGGTGTCATAACGTTTTTTGTTTTGGCCAATTTCACGCTGGCCACTTTCATGGACCCGGGGGTTATACCAAAAGGTAAGCTTCAGAAGACTTTCTCGGCGTCAGTTTTAATCTTTTTATACCTATTCCTTACAGTCTCTATCATATATGAGACAAGTACACCCAGATGGCCATTCCTAAATATATTTTACCGAATTCCGATTGTGGTTAGGGTACTAATCACTTGACTTGATAAACTGTTACTGAATTTCCGTATAGCTTTACCGAAAATTGCATTAGCGAATCGTTTCAATACGCAAATACCACTATTAAGTCTGCCTATCTAAATATTTATCTGATAAAACATGATGCATTCTGAATTCGATAAAAAAAATTAAAATATTTGTACGATGTAATTACAGTATGATAATTTGAAGAGTTTTCATTTAAGATTACGGAAGACATTTTATGAAATAAATGGAATTTCAAGGGAAGCCAGACTTATTGTTTATCCTCAATCAAAGCTTTAGGAGAGTCTTTAACGTTAGGCAGTGCTTCAACTGTCTCAATATCGATGTGTCGCTTAGCAGTTGATCTCAGACTCACGGGCTCTTGTCTAATTTCACTACCTCTTAAAAATGTAGTCATCAAACCATGCATTTCGTAGTTATTGAAAGACCAGCCGCGAAACGCAATTACGATACCTTGTCCTATCTGAATTAGACCTGTTGAAGTCCAAACAAGTTCAACAAAGGCATATTTTAAAGCACATCGGCTAGTTTTTTTTTTGTTGCCCTTGTAGGCAGACGAGCATACGGCCCACCTGATGGTGAGTGGTTACCGTCGCCCATGGACCTCAGCAATGCCAGGGGCAGAGCCAGGCCACTGCCTACCGAAAAGTTAAGTTGTAAAATGAAACTCAGAAAAGCTAGTAATTAAATACGATGAATTTTCGCCTTCGTTAGACTTACAGTTTTTATGAGGTAATCTAAATTCACCCATACAGCCTATTTCGTTTCTCAGCAAGAATCTCTCTAATCACGAATAATTGTCGGGTCTGGTTTCATTTTCGTGTACCGACGTAATTCCGTAAAATAGGTTGCCTGCCGTCTGTAAGCGGCGGTTCCTTTGAATTCTTAGGAAAGCCGTCAATTACCGGAAAAAAAACAGTAATTAGATACATTTTCTTTGATGGCTTGATTAATAATTGGCGTGTCTGGTAGAAATGCAGGTGAGCATTGTACTGTTTTGGTATTTTGGCAAATATTTGGTAACATGATATTTGTTCGAAATTTTGAAATTGCTACATCATAACCGAAGTCTGAATACATTTGTTTTTCATTGGAATCCTCATTGAGCGTGGTGCTACTAGCCACGATATCAAGTGGCTTGACCACTTTAAGGACTTAAAAATAAATTAATATCTTATTTCGATTTGATAGAAATCGAATGCGTCTCTCACGTGTTTTTTTTTATTGCTCAAATGGGTGAAGCTCACAGTCTAGCTGGTGTTAAGTAGTCACCTAAGTTCATAGATATTAACCACATCAATACCGGCACCCGTCGCGAGAAATGAGTTCTAAGTCTCAGTTTTTACAGTTAAACTCCCCCACCCTTCAGAAGCATTACTGCTTCACGGCAGAAATAGGCAGGATGATGGTGCCTAACCTGCGGTCTCACAGGACGACCTTCCACCAGTGTTTATCTCTTGAAGCCATTAAATCAATTGCCACTAGACTAAATGCCGCGGCCGAAGTTCAGTGATGTTCAAAACAAAAATTCGGTGGTGGTAGGACCTATTGTGAGTCCGCGCGGGTAGGTGCCCTACCCTGCCTATTTCTGCCGTGAAGCAGTAATGCGTTTCGATTTGAAGGGTAGGGCAGCCGTTGTAACTATACTTGAGACTAGTTGAGACCGTAGAACTTATATCTCAAGCTGGGTGACGCATTTACGTTGTAGATTTCTATGGGTTCCAGTAACCATTTAACACCAGATGGGCTGTGAGCTCGTCCACCCAATTAATCAATAAAAAAAATCTAGTTCCGGCCCTAATGTCGAGAAATTAGTCTAGTGTGGTGACGGTGATGATACGCGTTTCCAGCTCCACCTGACGAGGACCGAGAGGACGACTACAGAGCCCCTCTGTACCGTAGCGTCGAGATAAACGGTATAACGGTGCGAATGAAGTGGTGCGTCACTTGCAAGTTCTACAGGCCGCCTCGTTGCTCGCACTGCTCCGTGTGCAATCACTGTATAGAGGTCAGTTTTGTGTGTCGTCGGACACATGCCTGTTTAATTACCGCCCGTTCTAAAAAGCGTTACAGAGTCCAAGAGGCAGAACAAATTCAACGGGCTTCGTAAAGTAACGCTTGTACGTTTTTGTGGTGTTGTTTGTTTGTTAGGTATTACCTGACCCGGCAGACTTCGTAGTGCCTCAATCGATAAATAAAACATCTAAACTTTTGTATAATATAAACTTAAAACAAACAACAGGAATCCGTCCGATGGGGGACACATCAAGGGGAAAACAAAATTGTTAATTTAGTTTAATTCCGAGCATTTTCATATTTATCTACCTTTTGAATCTTCTCTTGACTTCCACAAATAATTCAAGACCAAAATTAACCAAATCGGTTCAGCCGTTCTCGAGTTTTAGCGAGACTAACGAACAGCAATTCATTTTTATATATACATATATAGATATTAGGTATTACAATGTCCGATGTGAGGACGGAAGTGATGACTTGGAAATTACTTGGTACCCCGCAGTCGATGAAGGCAGTGACGTCACATCGACTCCGATTCTGAACGCTCTAGGTGCGCGAACCACCCGCTCAATAAATGATTGTTTTTTTTTTGTTTTGTCCGCAGACATTCGATCACCACTGCCCGTGGGTGAATAACTGTATAGGTCGTCGTAATTATAGATTTTTTTTCTTCTTCCTCATATCTCTGTCGATACACATGCTGAGCATATTTGGTCTCAGTTTGTATTTCATTATGAAGCACAAGAACTTAACGCAGGTCGAGCCTATTGTGTCGTATCCTTTTTGTAATGTTGTTATTTGATGTATTTTGAATTTTATCGTGTATTAGGTTTAGCATGATCTTTAGTTGCATTGTTAGGCGCGGCGATGGCCCAGACGAATCGCAATGTCGAATATAATCGACCTTGAAAGATCGAGATAGATTCTGGTAATGTAGAGATCACATCGCCGTATGTACGCATCAAACAGCGCTAAAACAGTCTATTACCAGAGCGTCTGTGGGACGGCGGGATGGTTGTAATATGCTCTGCGTCAACCCTGTCCCGCCGTCCCAATAGCTCCGACTGGGCTCCGAGGTAGGGCGCCGGCTGTGAGGGGCAGGAGTTTTTAGTGAGGTTCAACTCCCACATACCCCAACTGCCGCGCGGGTGGGGATTCGGCGTTTTTCTCGTGTGGAAAAAAAATTACCACAGCGTGGAGCGATACAAATCTTACCAAACGAAAAGCGATCTAAAGCGATGCCCCATAAAGTGCAGTTTTGGTTAGAACATAGTGAATTTGTACTCCGCCTCCCCGGTTTCTCAATGATGAAGGCGAGTGATGATCACTCGACGTCGTTTGGTCGTATCTGCCGAATCTGTAGGGTCGAGAGTAGTGCGCAGATTTGATCAGTTCAACGTGCGTAGTGCGTTTTTTTTATTGCTTAGATGGGTGGACGAGCTCACAGACCACCTGGTGTTAAGTGGTCCAGAAGCCCATAGACATCTACAACGTAAATGCGCCACCCACCTTGAGATATAAGTTCTAAGGTCTCAAGTATAGTTACAACGGCTGCCCCACCCTTCAAACCGAAACGTATTACTGCTTCACGGCAGAAATAGGTAAGGTGGTGGTACCTTCCCGCGCGGACTCACAAGAGGTCTACGACCAGTAAATATATACTAGTGATAAATACTAATGACCACGAAAGGAAATTTATGATTTCGATACCACTGTAGTTAGAACATAATGTGATATTTGGTAAATATTTTTGTGATTATGATTCTAAGAACAGTCAATAAACTTTCTATGGTATTTAATCGGAATACCAGTTCGTACCAGTAATGAGAGCGGTATAAAAAATGGGTTGAATGAATTCGAACACTCCTTGACAGCAGATCGATAAGGTCGAATATAATTTGATTAAAAATCCTTAATTATTGTACTGATTCATCTCAAATTACTTTTTTGTCAACCTTTAGGCTATAATTATTCAGAATTTAAATTAAAAGCTATCCTTATGAATGCACAGTAATTTATAATTTTTATTGCCCTTGTAGGCAGACGAGCACACGGCCCACCTGATGGTCAGTGGTTACGGTCGCTCATGGACTTCAGCAATGCCAGTGGCAGAGCCAAGCCGCTGCCTACCGTTTAATACTCTCCACAAGCCTCGTTTGAAGAAGGACATGTCGTAGCGCTCGGGAAACACCGTGGAGGGGAGCTCATTCCATAGCCGGTTGGTACGTGGCAAAAAATACCTCTGGAAACGCACTGTGGATGACCGCAGTGGCTCCAGGTAGTATGGACGAACTCTACTCCGGTGGCGGGCGGTGCGATGGTAAAAACGAGATGACGGTAACATCTCGAACAATTCCTCAGAGCACTCCCCATGGAACATACGATATAAAATATAGAGGGAACCCAAATCCCTCCGCAGACCTAGAGGTTCCAAACGATCCGTGAGAATGGGATATTAGATATAGTATATTAGAATCAAATGTAATATTATACGTTCAAGAAGTTACAAACGTGAATTTCCTCTACATTATTGTTCGGTATACCTGCAGGTTCCAAATAGATAGGTTTGAAATTAATTTTCAATTTTCGTACATACCTTAACTCGAAACCCAGAATGGTGATAATGGGTGTGATAGCTTTATTAGCCATACCGATATTTGGTCTGACGGGATTCCACATGGTGCTCGTGTCCCGTGGTCGGACCACCAACGAACAGGTCACCGGAAAGTTCACCGGCGGCTACAATCCATTCTCGAAGGGATGCTGGAATAATTGCTGTTACACGCAGTTCGGACCTCAGTATCCGAGGTATTTATCCAATGATTGTTTATTATCGATAAATAGATGGGAAGTTCGCAACTTATTGCATATTTTTTTTATTGTTTATATGTGTGGACAAGCCCACAGCCTGATGTTAAATGGTTACTGAAGCCCATAGACATTTACAACGTAAATGCCGCCACCCACCTTGAGATATGAGTTTTAAGGTCTCAACATAGTTACAACGGCTGCGCCACCCTTCAAACCGAAACGCATTACTGCTTCACAGCAGAAATAGGCGGAGTGGTGGTACCTACCCATACGGACTCACCAGAGGTCCTACCACCAGATAATAGCATGATAATAGTTTTTGTAATTATTCGAAGAATTAGAGATACTAACTTGTCATTAATACTAATTATAAGTCTTTAGTAATGGTAGATGCCGATATACAAATTGAAAAAAATGCGCTAAGAGTACATTATGAATATACATATATAAATTAATTATTGTTGTGTGGTTTTGTTTCAATAATTGTTTGATAATTTTGTATTTTTGTCTTATTTCACGATTTTTATGCAGCTCGTTGTAATGAATCTAGTTTTCTCTGTACAGTAAGATGGAAAGAGTGCCCTTATTGTTAGATTCGTTGTGCCTTGATATCATTGAATTATGAATTTTTGGGCCCACGAAGCTTTAAACACGCTTTCAACCCTCGTTTTGAGGCTGTCAGCTATGCATGTGTGTATCGGATCCCGCCAAATACGCTCTCGATGCTTTTAGGCTCTTTAAGCATCAGCCACCTTCCACGTGAGACTCGTCGATTACGACGAAGAGTTCGACGAGCGAACTAACCCATAGACACAGCACACTGAGTTTCTCGCCGGATCTTCTCAGTTCGTCGCGATCCGGTGGTTCATTCTGCGAGGCATTGCTCTAGCTAGGGCCAGTGCTATCAAACTCTTAAGATTGAGCGCCGTGAGCTCATCTACCAGCCATGGCGTAGCTGGAATAGCCCCTTAGGTTACCAGAGAATTGGGAACGGAAGAAAATGTACGTATGTCTGTGTGTGTAAAAGTCGATGCCACTATAGAACTTTGTAGCACGTAGCAGACGGAATTCGTAATTGTCCGTAGGTACGATTCCGTACTAATATGTAGCTTGACAAAACCTCTATATGATTTATGACCTATATCTTAAAGAGGCTACAATAAGTTTTACGGGAGACACATAAATGATATTTTGAATATTGAAACATAAGAACTGGTGAAGCAATAGCTTTAAATGTTGTTTCTCTTTACAGAGCAACTCAGTTTGTGCTATAGTTTTAATGGGCTAAACTTTCTTTTATTGTCCATAAAATACTACATTGTATACATATGTCCGCAGTCTAGTCCGACCGTCAAAATATATATACAAGAGCGGCAAGAAACGTCGGGAAGCGTTACCGCCGGGCGCTCACTCGGCCTCCGCAATATCGACGATAGCGACCGACACGCAACACCAGGTAAAAACGTACACGGCCGACAATGGAAACGCTCACCGGCCGCAGGGACCTCACGCGCATTACAACAAGGTGAGAGCCAGACGCTTCGTACCGCTTAACGATAGGGCTGTGCCTTATCGATCAATTATGTATGTCGATGTTTCGTTGAGAGAAAAATCGGCAACGATATCATCGTGTCTTTTACGGTAAATTAGTGAAAATTCAATTTAAGGCCGTTTTATTCAAGTATGGAAACATCTTAATATTTGCAATTTTAAGAATAGTTTAGTATCGATAACGCACATTCCTTATTTAAAGAAAAAAAACTCGTAACCAAAATTTTGTTATCGTAACCATTCTTAGTGTAATTGATTTAAAAAAAAAAACCTTGGTTTCGAGTTTGCTAATGTCTAAAATACGCGCTCGATACATTTAGCTAGGTTCCGTTATCCGATAACTACTTGGCTAGTTTATTAAGCTGTTAGGAAAAGGAATGTTTTTCCTTACACTTATGGAAATTTTAATTACTTTTGTGGTCATAAATATGTGTATATATATAATTAAGTGTCCCACTGTTTTTTTTTTCCTACCTGAAGTCAGTAAAATTGTTATATTACTCTTAATAAAGGCGAGCAATTTTAATAAACACAATATAAAATATGTAATATACAGCACATCACATAAATGAAGGATGTTTTAAAAATATTGAGTATTTAGTACACTGACAGCGTTGTATAGGCTAGACTATTTCTCGCGTAGACTTGATCACATTGCAACTTGATTAAGGCTAAAATGATTAAATTCAAGTTAAAATAATTAGCTTTCCTACATTTAAATACATAGATGATTAAATGATAAATATATTCTCCAATAATTTAATCACACGCTTTTACGTAGTAATAAAATGGCTAGTTTCCACAAACAGAACGTAGTAAATATATCATTTAGTTATCACGCTTTTAGAGCAAATACATACCTTCAATTCACTAACATAAATTATAATTTAGATTGGCACAATGCACTGTGTACACAATTCTAATGTGAATTGAAGACATGGTATGTCTGGCTCTCTACTGAATTTTTTTACTGTTTTAATTTACTTGTAAATACTGGTAGGTATGTAAATAATTATGAATAGCTTTATTACTTTTAGTTTTGGTTTAACGATTTATTTTGATTGCTGAATTATACGTCAGAATAGTTTTTTTTTATTGATGACGATTAAATAATATATAATTTTCTCACGAAATAATTTAAAATAAAACTCACTTTTTTTAAATATTCAACTACCACTGAATTCAATAAGTACATTTTTCTTTTCTGGCAATACAAAAAATGATTAACAAATATTGATTAACGAATATTAATCACATTAGTGAAAGTAGATTTTTAAAAATTTTAGTTTTGATTTTTATAAAACGAATGTAGTTTCAATAAATATTCTACCGTCTAAAAATAAATAACAATAGTATTTTCTTCAGTTTTTGCGTTTCGCGGACATGAATAAAATCTATTTGTGATATCGTATTTACTACACTCATATTGCAACTAACTTCGCTCAATAGACTTTGAAAGTTGTTGTGAACTATTTGGAAATTTGTTTTAATCGAAAATCAATATTTACCCATATATGTGGAGTCAACTGACTCTATCGTACTCTTGGTGTATCCTAGGACACATGTGACATTTTTGAAAAAGCGAGGATAACCACTTTACGCTCTTCAAAAACTAAATTATCAACTCAGAGCCCAGCTTCAAATATAAGGAACAAAGCCACTTGCTGCCTACCTGTCTGATATCGAACATATTTATAAAGAAATGATAATTAGGACCTGAAAAAAAAACTTCAAAAAAGAAGCAACATTGACGAACTCAAATCTTGAATCTACATATCGACGCTTGAAAGGCAAACGTGACAAAGCGACAATGCGTGAACTTTACAGTAGACTAATTTAAAGATGAAATACCTGAAAAAAATTATATCTTAACGAATCTAGCTGTAGGATTGAAATGATTTTAATAGACCTAGAAAATAGAAATATATTTTTTTTTGCGCATCGAATATGATTATTGCCTATCATTTATGTACAAAGCAGTTATTGTCGCTTAGTCACGTTTGCCTTTCAAGCGTCGATATTTAAAATATCACCTATTAATATGCTTTTCAAAAAGACTTGGATGAACTGTACGAAAGACGATACGGGAGAAGAGATTGGGTGCAAAGATGACGTATGATAGACTTCACACATAGGCATATTAGGGCAGGAAGAATAACATGACTGCGCTTCAGATAAATAAAAATGATGTTGCTCACATCCTATCTATGGCTCAGATATGTAGTGCGTATAGAGCAGGATCGGGACGTATAAGGGGTGATCCGGAGAGACGCCGCCCCATAGGGAGGCCCAGGTACCGCTAGTCTGACGCTGTGGGGAAATTTACGTGAGCTCCAAGTGTCGGACCGGCAAGGTGTTGCGCAGGCATGAATGGCGGCGTTTATTGTCGAAGGCCAAGACCCAGTTCGGGGTCATAGCGCCAGCGCACTAGTAGTAGTAGTATCAGTTGTGATTAGCACATGTCCGCGGTGTGCAGCTATCGCCCGGCGGCGAGGAGCACGAGGGTGAGATGGATGGGCCCCGCGCGTCCCAGAGCGCGGACTGCGAGCCCACGCCACCTCCGATACAGCGACGGGGCTCCGCGGCCAATCTGTTCCCGCCGGCTGAACCGCATCACCATCTGCCGCCACGTCCGCTACATTATCCGCGTTTAAGTCCACTATCGAGGAACACAAGGTGAGTTAATTCTCATTTATACACATAAAGAAGTGTCATGAGTAAAAAAATATTAGGGACTCAATTTTTAATCACCTTATTGAGTTTATGAGTTTTTTATTTATACGAAAATTGAATATTAAATTTCTTACTAACAAAAAAGGAAATGAAAGAGAATTTAAATGGTAAAAACAGTATGTGCATTTTCGAATAAATACAAACAAAAAAAATCCTATACAGTAATAAAGTAAAATTTTATTTGCGGTTATATTAAAGCACTTTTTTAAGAATGTCTAATTCAAGAGTTATAAACCTATCTCAAAGACTTTAACCTACTTATGTCTGAAGTAAGAAAGTCTACAAGATATTAGTTGAGTAGTTTATTACCTATATGGATTTAAAGTCTATGAACCTTTGCCCTACATTTTGTGTTCGTGTTTAACAATCTTCAACAATGCACTCTTCTAGCCACGGCACGACCACGTCAGGGTACCGGGTCGTGATGGAGCCGCTTCGGTACGATTCAGGGTCGAACGGAGGAGCTCGACCCTCGCCCACGATGCAGCAGAGGATCAAAGCTCTAGGCGTGCCCACGCCCTTAGCGGTCAGCCCTGTGAGGAGGTATGTTATTCCACAATCACGGCAACAAGAGTAGTGATGTGCGACCAAGATCATTAATATTATCGATAATAATTTTTTTATAGAAAATCTTGCTTACACAATTTTTATGTTGTCTAAAACGCGAAATGTAATTCAAATAATGATCGTGATCGCTCTCAGGCATTACATTCGATTAATATATCGAAAGGATTGTTCACCAATGATGAAATATAATCGATTTAGAAACCAAACCTTGATAAATAATCCTTATCGATTATGAAGAAACAAAAACAATTGATATGTTAAACTTTATTTACTTATGTTTTAAAATGTTACTAGATCAAAAAATTTATATATATTCAAAAGATTAAAGGGTAATTGGCGATGTAACAATAACCGAAAAGAAGATAATTGTTCCCATTACAAATATAGGTATTTATGTTGTTTCCCATTGTCACAGCCTTTTCCGATCATTTAATAAACAAATATACTTTACGTCTTTGCACAGATGCATATTGAAATATAAAAAGTTATCGACCTTTTTAATATAGAGTAAACTTATTTTGACACATATTTTGGCATTACAAGAAGTCGGTCAATATCGCATCTGTACAAAAATGTTTGAACGTAAATTTGAAATTCCTTCTATCCACCGGGAATGCATCGCTTCTGGTTTTTTTCCTTTTCGTTCAATGAGTGTTTATTTGCATGTAAAATGTTTTGCAACACTATATTATAAATGTATAGATGTTTTTGTTTTCTATATTTTGGGAACACTAATTCTATAAAGATAGTTTAACTTGTGATTGGTGTAATAGCTTTTAATAAAGTTCGCTTACATTCAAGTCCTCAGTTTATTACTGATTTAGAGTGTAAGGAAAATTATGTTAAACATAAAACAAAGGTAGTTGGTGAACGTGGTAGGCGAGGTCGTTGACCGCTGACACACCGTGTTGGCTCATTTTTATTTGTTTTACATTGCGGGTATCGCCGAATCCGGTTAAAACATTTGATTCTTTAATGGAATTTTTATTAATGTTTTCATATAAGGATCATCAGTACTGTCTGTCCTCTTTACGCTTTCCATGAAAATATCACTTGTTTTTTCTTTCATTTTTTTTCGACGTATTAAATTGACATGTAAGCGGACTTTTAGATTAGGGTGCTGGGTTACCACCATGAAAATAATATAAACTGTCATAAAAAATACATTTTATAACAATTAAAGTTAACTTTTTACATTTAATGGGAAACAAGAATGACTACAGTTTATAAAATATCTGTGTCCACATGACTGTCGAATTAATAATGATTAATTAAATTAAAATATCAAAATCATTTGATATAAAGAAAAAACTAATATAGCGAATGTAAAATAATTAATTGGATGTAAAATAATTGGTTTACCGCTTACAACGCGGCAGGTGGACGTAACGCATAGAACTCACGTGAGGACGGTAATGCATAAGTCTGTTTTTATTTATTTATTTCTTATTATTTTGGTCTCCTGTGTGTGTAAATATGCTTTATTTGAATTGAGTGGATTTATATTGATTATAATTATACAACACAATTTTATAGGAAGAATGAAATAAAGGTGCTAGGAATATCAGGTGATACGAACACGGAATAAAAGCAGCAATGTAAATTGCATTGTATGCGCCATGGGTGCCGTAAAAGCCGACTTATTTATTTATTTATTTATTTATGTACACACAGAAAACAAGACACAGTACAGAGTAATAGGAAAATTATGTACAAAGGCACTGCTTATTTCTTTGAGAAATTTCTTCCAGCAGACCTGCGAGAGGATAATGAGAATAATAATAAAAAGTGATAAGTGTGTGTAGAACAAATAACACATAACTAAAATAACAAATACAACATGAGAATTATAGCACATACACATAGCAAATATTATAAGTAACACAGTAACACTCGTATATGTACTTAGTGGGGTTCGGGAAAAATAATAACTCTCACCGAAACTATGGAAGGTAGAGATAAGGAGAACCGCCTCATACGGGAGAAGCTTGAAAAAGTGTCCCACTTTCAGCACTAAATAACAGTTCAAAAATCCTCCAGAATGGCGCTAGCATAGGCACAGGGTATGATATGAATTGAGCAGTTGTTAACTGATTAAAGTATGCTGAGTTAGGAATTTAATATATTTAATGACTAGAGTAGTTAGTGACAGTGTAATATACAAGATCTCACATGTTTACGTAGTCCAAACTAATTTCGTCAATATAACCTAAAATTATTGCTGTGGTAAAACGTGGAGACATCGATTTCATTTTCTTATCAGCTTTAAATAAAAAACTTTTTGTGATTTTATAGTGCTTACTGTTGTAAAAGTTCTTTCGTCCTTTTTTGTTTCTCTATCTTATTCTAATAACTTTCAGCGCCTTTTTTTAAATTTACCCGGCTGCTACTGTAGCGCCACCCTTATTTAGCAGATTTAACGGACACTTTTTCACACACAGAGAACTCCTTACCTCTACCCTCCATAACCGAAACCCAAATAAAAACTCAATTTAATTTTTATTATGAAGGTAGACATCAATATCACAATTCACTTCTTTTGATTTGCTTCGGGTGATCCTTTCGCTGTCTCGTTTCGAATAGGACAGATTACTAAACGCCTTCATGTCGTCTCTGTAACGGTTTTTTTAGTCGACACGACATGTCTACAGTTTTCCAGAACATTTCCGATAGTATTGGTGGTAGGTCCTCTTGAGTCCGCACGGATAGGTACCACCGCCCTGCCTGTTTCTGCCGTGAAGCAGTAATGCGTTTCCGCTTGAAGGGTGGGGCAGCCGTTGTAACTATAACCTTAGAACTCATATCTCAAGGTGGCTGGCGCATTTACGTTGTAGATGTCTATGGGCTCCAGTAACCATTTAACACCAGGTGGGCGGTGAGCTCGTACCTACATCTAAGCAATAAAAAAAAAGTACTAGTTGTTACGGTAACCGTTTTGGCTATTTGGCGTCAGATGGCGTTATTGGTACGTGTCATTTCCACGGGAAAACCACAAGGGTAGTTGTCCTTGACCCGAGGTCGCGGGTAATTACTCTGTAATTAGTTTTCGTGCGTGTATTGTGTGAGGAAGGGGGTTATTAGTCCGTCCATATTGGATATTATTTCCCTGAATCAATATAAATCCACTTGTTACTTCATGATGGATGCACTAAATGCTAATAAATTTCCTAATTTTGTTTATTTTTTTTTCGACAGATTTAATAGATATTATTTTTTAATTACACGTTTGATTTTATAAGCATTTATTATTTTATTTGCTGAATGTTTAATTTAACTTACTGAGTAGCCTAAAATATGTTTTATTTTTTTAAATGTAATATAGAATTTTGGTTTTATTCCATAGAGATTATTATTTTAAAATATTTTAATTATAATATATGTATTTATCAAAAAAATATTCGTTTTTTTAAGCACCATGTGTGAATTTTTATGTAAAAATTATATTGCAAGAATTACTTCTTTTGGAGCTTGAAGGGATGCATGAGTTATTATCGATATGTTTATCGATGAAATGTAGATATAGCACAGTACTATTAGATAATGAAATGTGTTTTTTTTTATTTTTATTTGCAAGCTGTTTTTTCAAAAAGGACCGAAGGCGTAGCGCAACCCACTGTACAATGGCCGGCTACCAACGATTGTCTATGGTCGATCTGTGATCATAGATATTGAGTTGGATGGTAACGCGATTTTTTAGTAACCAACATAAAAAAATTTTTATCCTGTTAAATGTTAATAAAAAAGTTAATAAATCCATGATGAATTTGACATTGCATTCACGGGGTTGTTTATGGATTTGTGATGCACGATCCGACATCGTTTAGTAACTTTGCAGTGTTACCGCTAGATGTCATTGCTATGATTTATGTACGTTTGAAATTGTTTATTATTTCGACCATCCGCCATTTTGTGCGTTGCACTATGCTTGTAAGGTGTCGCTTCTTATCCTGTTGAAATATTAAAGATTAACATAATTTAATGTTTAAACGTTCCCGTATTGAATTAAATAGAATTCACAAATGATTAATTTCAGCAGGATAAAGTACGCGATGCAAACGTTAGGTAGCAGCTTGTCGTAACGTAGTAGTGTATGTATTATATTGTACAGTCGTGGCATGTGGCGTTGGCATGATCCCCGCAGCCGCAGTGGCGGGCCGCTCTCGGACCCAAAGTTCGACGTTCAGAACCCGGTCGATGCAATGCTGTTGTTGTTTCGCTCTTTGTACACATAATCCGAACGGATCACATGTATTTCCGTAGTTAAAAAGGGAAGCGGTCGATATTAACTGAGTATGTACCGAGATCGAGCGTATCTCGTCTCGGGTATAGTTCGAGTCACGTTCTGAACGGCGAGTCCCGGGGCGGCCGCCATCGCACGTGCAAACGCTTCGCCCCGCAGCTCCCTTATCCTTCTGTCCGTAGGCCGGACGATAACGATAGCGAGGGCTCCGACGAGCTCGCGCGATTATACCCCTGACCTGAGCGCCGCGCCCGACAGGTCCAACCCGGGCACGCCGACGCAGCCCCGCCGCCCCGACTTCATCGGCGTGGGGCGCGGCTCCCCGCAGCGCCGCTTCCTCTCCGAGGGCGAGCTGCTGCGGGAGCCGGCCGAGGACGTGCGCGAGCTTGCCGCCTCCCCGCAGCGCGGCGCCTACGCGTGGGCGGAGCGCGGCGCCGTGCGCGTGTTCC